CATCCCCAGCAGCATCTGTGAAACAAGCAAAACACATTCACATCTCCATCTAACTACTGGTTAACTGGGGTATGCCGGTGATATACTATTGAACGTCTATAAAGTTGGACACACAAAGGTCAAAGGACAAAAATGGCGAGATAAACAGACCATTAGGCCCTATTAAGGGCCACACTTTACAATTCTCATAATGCAACTCCACAGTGTCTTTAATAATCCCATTCCTGCCTCCTTGACGTACATTTCTTTTAGACCTCACATCTCTAGTTTCTAATCCAGGCTTCATGTTAAACTGTTAGCTAAAGCAGAGCTAAGTCTGATGACATCACTATGACATCAACAGGCTTTTTTGTTCTAACTTTGGAAAGTTCCCTCCAGAGCCACAGACATTATTTTACTGTTTTCACAGGCCGAGTGGAACTCCTTGATGAGGTGGAGTGCCACTTCAGTTTACATTGATTCCATGCTCCCTCACCTTGCTGTCAGTTTGATCCCCAAGCTGGACCTTGAGGATCTCTGTAGCTTTTATATGTCCTGTGACAGCAGCCATAAACTCTACCAGGGCAGTTTTTCCACAACCTATAGGGCCCTCAAGTAGCACAGGCTTCTGGGAAGCCACAGCCAATGCCAGTCTTCTCAGATTACGGCAGGTTGAGTCCACCAGCACCAGATCCTTTTGGTTCATCTGCAAATAGAGATCAACATTAGACCAAAAAGGTCCACAGCAGAGACGATTTTATGTGAAAACCAAAGGATACATACCTGGTCAGCATGTCTAGGCACTATCCTGGGTAGGACAACACCACAGACTGCCACAACATTCTGGGACAGGTCCTCTGATACCACCTGGCCCCTGGTAAACTTATTAGCTTTCTCCTGGCGCCACATGACAGAGCCTTGATTGGCTAACACCAAAGCTTGTTCTACTTCCAGCTGTTGAGTTTCTTCCAAAGCCCTAAACAAGGAACAAAGAGAAAGTACTGTAAAGCACTTTGAGTGGTCGGTAGACCAGAGAAGCACTGCATAAATAAGTCAATTTACAAACTCATATTAAACAGAATATTAAATTAATATCACATTCATAACAAAATATACTGAAAATGACCCGTGTTACAGCCATTACAGGCTCTGAAGAGTGCCACTGCAAAAAATAAATCCTTAATACTCTACTAGATAATATATAAACAAATGACAATAGATAAAGGAAAGGTACATACTTCATTTTCATTTGCAGGATTTCATCACTTGAAAGCACCTTTCTCAGAAAGATGGTTTTCTGATTATCAGTCATATGAGAGACCAGCGCTAAACAATGGGCCGTGTACCTGTGAGGGACAATGGGAAAATACAGTACATTTCATTTGGGTGGTGATGGAACAGTGGATAAGACACATGCCTTTGGTTTGAGAGACCTGGGTTCGAATCCACTGAGAGACATAAACGTGTCCCTGAGCAAGACACTTAACCACTAGCTGCTCCAGAGGCGTGTGACCTCTGACATGTATAGCAATTGTAAGTCGCTTTGGATAAAAGCGTCAGCTAAATGAATAAATGTAAATGTTCTTGTAGTATGCCTTTCATCAGCTTTTTAAACAACAATTTTAACGCTGCTGTAACAGCTCAATGTAGGGCTGGACAATAAAACAATAAAAAATAATTATCACAATATAATTATTTTTAATAACAATATAGCTAATGTTCAATAAATATTTAATAAATGTTTGATTTTATTCACTTGAATCATACACGAATTAGGACTTTTTTTTATGAGATGTTTATTTTGTTGAGGAAAAGGGACTGAAAATAGCTTATGCTTCATTTTACTCATGCATGTTTGTTGACAAAAGATTTTATCATAATTGTTTGAAATGTTCTACCTCAGATTTGTGAAGTGATCCACTGTTTGTCACATAAAGAAAAGTTTAAACCACAAATAACCATCAGATTTCTTCCAACTTTCACTCAGGAGCAAAAATCAGCCTTTAAACTCGAAAGAAATAAGGATTTGATACTTATCGTGATAATTATTGATAGTGAAAAGATATGAAACTTTTTTATCGTGATAACATTTTTGGCCATATCATCCAGCTCTAGCTCAATGTAAACACACAGACAGATATGGAAGGAAAATTAATAGAGGGTCTGTCCCTCAGTCAGGCCTCCCTCCCTCCCCACTCTCCAAAACACACATGAACAGAGTGCACACAGGTTGACAGGTAGGTAGGCCAGCCAATTAGCTGGGGTTATTACATATTCCTGCCACAGCAACAGATACCGATTTTTAAGTCACTGCTTTCGGGATGTAAAGAGTATTTCAAAAAATGCTTCTGTAATAAACTGCCTAGTGTATAAACTGCTTGTAACAAACAAAAATGTTTAACTTTTAATCAAGTTAATTTTTGAACCAACTTAGGTTTAGGGTTAATGAATTTTAATTTAGATATGCCAATGATGGTGGCTTTGCAGCCGGTTTGCCTCAGTATGTTAACACTTGAGCTGCTGTGAGTGCCCTCTCTTGCATTTCTCTGCTTTCTCCAAATCCGACAAGTTAATCCAGGAGGTAAACAGATGCACATGTGCAACAGCCAAACCTTATGATACATGATGCTGTGTTACCATAGCAGCTGCAATGCAGAGATTACTTTTAACATGGGGGTGATGAAAAATATATAATAATAAATAAAAAATAACAATTTTAAGTGACTGCTGGTAATAGTATCACATTCCTCGTGTTGATAATCCTAATATATGATGAAGTAATCAGGGTTTGTGCTGCTGTTATAAGCCATTTCCAGTTTGCACCACATTCTTGGGTCTGACTAAGATGCTCCTAAACTCTAGATGGTTGTAGGTGAGGTGCAGCTTGTTCAACACACGTTATGCAAAAGAACGTATGTCTGTAATCAATGAGTCACCACGGTACAGTAAACTATCAAGACCAATATGGAGTACGGTCTAGACCTGCTCTTTTATGAAAAGCGCTGTGAGATAACTGTTGTTGTGATTTGGCGCTATATAAATAACATTGAATTGAATTGAATACCAGGACCCTGAAAATGAAGCAGCTAAATGGAATTCAGCCAAAATAAATTGTATTATTTACACCTGTGAAAAAGGCCGATTGTAGAAAATGTAACTATACTTAATAAATAATTCATCACAGTGAACATCTATCAAAGCATCATTGTGTATGTGAGTTATTTGAAAAAAAAAAATTACCAAAAAATGAAAATATTACTTTGAAATTAATAGAAGTACACATAATGTTGTACTGCAAGTTTCAAGTTTCTGAAATTTGACTTTCAGATCTTAAAACTCAGAAAATATTATAGTTTCTTAAATTAAAAACAAGGATGGTAGTTTGGAAAGTAGTCAGCAGTAAAGTTACGGTTGTGTCAATTTGCTGTAAATGGGCTGAAACATGCAAACACACCAACAGACTTAGAAATAAACCCAGCTGCTTAACTTTAAACATTCCTAAACTGACCGACACCCACAAAGACATCAAGGTTACTATTTTTGGATTTCCACAAATGAAACCAACTGTGTTTAAGGATGTTACCCTGCACGTACATACCATCGGACCATGACATCGCTGGTGAGCAGCTGTGATACGCAGGGACTCCAGTCCCAGAGCATTCGAAACTTGGCACAATCACTCTGGAGGAAACGGAGGGTGGCACCCATGAGGTCACGCAGCTTCATCCGCCTGGGGCCATACTGAACAGCTGATGACTCTTCACTGGTGAAGAAGAGCCTCTGAAACACTGGGGGGGCACTGTTGAAGTACCTTGCAGCAAACCTTATAGAGAAAAGCAAAAAAATTAGGCAGGGTGGACATAGCCTGCTGAGATGCTGGCAAAAATAAATTGTGTGCATGAATACTCTTGGAATACTATAATAACTGCCCTACTGCAGCTTTGTACACATTAGGTAATGGCAGGCTGGAAACTGCAGCAAGACCGCTGACCCTAAAGGGCCCCAAGAGCCCCAGGTTCACTGTATTTGGTTTGTACCACAAAACTTTTAGAAATACATTCTTAGAAATAAACTAGCTGTAAAGCTTTGATGACTTAAAATTATTGTGTGCAAACATTGCAAATTGAAGAGAGCCCACTTACGCCTGTGCATCAGGACTGATGCCGAGAACTTTGCTAAGGGCCACACACAGGCGCTCATGGAGGTCATGGTTGATCCTGCCACCAGCTTTCACCTTCTCTGCATTCCGCTCCAACAGGTCGAGAACGAGCGGCCGCAGGTGCCGAGCAATCAGCAAAGTATAATCCTTCTCTATCAGCAGCTGAGCCAAACACTCCAGAATACACTGCCTGTCCCGCTGGCTCCATATCTGAGGACATATCACACAACAGGAAGGTCCCAATTAAAATACTGACTGGATTGGATTGACATAAACGCCATACATAAATGAATATTTCTTTATAATATTTACATCCTAGGTATTAGAAAGGCACAACGTATACTAAAATGATCTATTATCAAGTCAGCGACTACTGACATGTGAGAGGAAGATTAACGTCACTGCATGCTGCACATAGGACACGTTTTGAGACACAGTGTGAAAATAAACAACTGTAAACACATTGTTTTATTCCATACAAGCCAGGCATGAACACATCTTACCTGTTTTGACAGATATTGGCTCAGTTCGTTATGACTTTTATCAACATGTCTGGATATGGTGCTCAGTGATGGCAGGCTCAATTCTAAATTTTCCATCGTCTAATTAGTCGCATCTGGAGGAGCGATCTACAGCCAAAACACGCTCGCGCTGTCTCTGAACAGGTGCCCTGGTTTACTTTTATTAAACCAAACTGTGAGCTTCATCACGCGCTTCACTGTCTGAGGTTAATCACAACACACAAGCACGTTCCCGTCACTGGCGTTAAAATACCGTCCACATGTGAGTGAAGCACAAATTCTTCCGGGTCAGCTCGGATGTCCCCCCCCACCCCCCCAACGTCGTGCTGTGATGACGCGCGCGGACAGCGACGCCAGCACAGTCCAGACTCCGCGAGCGAAGAACTTTCGCTCGAGCGTCCTGCCGTATCTGCTGCCGTTTAATGCTTTCGTTAACGGCAGTTTGCTGGGTGAGGACGTGAACCGCTGGAGAAGACCGCGTGTCGCGGTACATTTGGCCTCCTTTAGGGTTTGACTCCTGTTTCAACAAGATATTTTGAAACCGCGGAGCTGCAAGAAAACACCATGGATGTATAAAGAGAACCCACCCACAGCAGTGACAGACCGCGGGAAAATGTCGTTACTTCCTGTGCAATGAAGTCTTGGCGCGACATTACAGTTGTAAACAACAGGAGGACGCAAAACAATACGGAAACAAGTAAGTTAAGCCAAACACTTCAAAGTAAGCCAATTGTAATATGCGTTTTATGAATGCCTGGCCGGTGCATAGGGTTCAGATTAGCATCCATAATTTACCGAGGGCTTCTCCGGTGTGGGGTCCCAAGTCATAGTTGGATAACAATGTGTTAAGTTAGCAGTTAACGTTAAGTTGAATATGCACCCAACGCGGGTTTAGCTGAGCCAAGCTTCTTTATTAACAACAATAAAATATCCATTAAGGGGAAATATTAAGATGTTCTCAGCAATGTCATTCATGTCTGCGTTTCTTAATAAAAATAAACTATGAATACCTTGGTGGCGGGACAACGGTAAGGTACAGATTTGTGTTAGCGTGGTGGTAACGTTAGTCAAAAGTAATTACTTCAAAGTAATATAAAAGTTTTTAAGTTAAACAGTGGTACGTTGGGTTTGCCTTCCATTCGTATGTGTCCATTTTGTGTTAGTTGATTTAAGGAGCTTTTAAAGCCGTATTGGTTTAAGGAGTTTAAGAGGTAACATTAACTTTAGTAACGTTAATGTTAGCTTGAGCTAGAGCTCAAATTGTCAAAATTAGGTTAACTATGTGCAGAAAGTTCCTAAAGAAGCAATATTTAGCCCAAGCCGTTAATATAAACATGGAACTCAACAGTTAGTTATAATTTATATGCTACCGGTTATCTAGGGTGTCTTCCCTTCTTTCTGTCTGGAGGGCTTTGTTCTTTTCTGTTCACGTCCGCGAACAAAAGAGGTCTAAAGTTAGCTAGACCACTATCTTAATCATGCTAACATCACAGTGATTAGCCTGTTTTTATCACTAACGTTACAGATAATAACGCTACAGTATAATAACCTCAGTGCATCGGTGATTTGATACTATCTGTAGGAGTGAGCAATATGGATAAATCCTTTATTACGGTATATGCTGTCTTACATTGCGATAACGTTAACGTTACCAATTTAGATTATTAACATAGTAACGTTACCTTATCTGGTAAAATCATTTGGGAAATTGCATAGTGATAAGACAACAAAACCGAAACATACATTTTTGACAAGTCTAGTACCTGACAAATCAATAATTCATATAAAAATCCAATATTTCCAAAACTATTAGAAAAAACATTGCAAGATGCTTGCTAAAATATAATTCATTGCTGAAAAATAAAATCAGTATTTTTTTAGATATATGGAGTGAACAGAAATAAAGCACTCCTGCTGTTGATTTGCAGCATTGCCCATTACAACCACAAATAATAATGACATATGATTATGATAATGGTAAGAGGATGGAAGAATATCTGACAGTTTACACATCTTCCATGACAAATTGATCAATGAAGCGAGCAGCAAGAGGCTGCGGTCCATCAGGACCAAAACTTCTCGCCACCAAAACAGTTTCTCCACGTCTGCAGCTAGCCTCATTAACAAGGCCCAGGTCCCTCACTGACACTCCCCCCTTGCAAATGATATAATTGTCTTTGTATGTCTAAATCTTGCTTCATTTCATATCATGCACACAAACCTGGCACATAGCACATGTTTGTTAATTGTTAATCATTCATTGTTGTTCTATATTTTTATATTTTGTTACCACGTCCCGACCCTGGATAAGAGGATGAAGATGGATGAATGTACACAATATTCTCTTTAGTTGTATATATCTCATATTTGTTTATTCCATATTTATATATTTCTACATTTATTTATTTATTTGTAGACAGACCTAAAAATCAAAGCAGCAGAAGTCAAAATATCCTGGTCCTGTCGTTACGTAATGCAACCAGTAGTGTCTTTCTCTACCTGGCCTGCGGACATCTTTCAAGCTCCACAACTCTAGTGTGTAACCCATGCTTTCTGTTAATAATGTGTAGTCCCCGAGCCCAAACTGAGATTACCCAGATGACATCATCAAGGTTGTTTTTGCCTCAAACCAGCTGTTTTAACAGACTAAGTAGTACTATCCATGTCTAGTACACTAGCCTTTATATTTAAAATTAGTAGAGTGCCCCTTTAAGATTGGTCTATCAACTCTGCAATCAATTTGTGGATTAATTTTATGTGTTCCTGATTAATTGGTCTTACCCCTGCTCTCAGTGTATCCATCAGCATACAGGCTAACCTTCAGCCTGTTCAAAGTGTGTTTTGGTTGATATTTATTTGTGTGCTTGTAATGACTACTAATTCTTCTTTGGTATTGTTTTTAGGAACTCCTTAAGAAACTGAGCCACAGAGAAACTTGAGATAATGGAGCATTGGAACATTGAGACAGACAGTGCATCTGGTTGTAAGTATAAGTTGTGTCTTTCAGTGACCTCAGCAGCTATATCACACCAGCTGTCAGTCACAAATGCTTAATTTAGTACGCGTTATGCAGTCATTAGATTTTAATATATGGAGTCTATACGGGTTTTTTAATCTCTGTAGACATAGACACATATTCTTTATCTGACATAACTCCAACTTTGCCACTCAGTGCATTCTATTTAATTTCCTCAATTTTATTTTAGTGTCTTAATTCTACACCTAAAATGAACTCACTAAATAGTACCTTTAAAAAATTCCCCTGAAAATGTCGTGTCTGTAGCTCGTGGGAATGAATGTGAATGTGTTTTCATTTTGTTTTAAGACTAAGATGACAGACATTTATAATACATGTACTATTCACAGTCTTGGTACCTGATGTCAATGAAAATTCTGTGGATATCTACGATGGCCTGGACATCGGTTCCACCAGTGATGCAGGTAAATAGTTTCACTTTGGTCTGCTACAGCACAATATTATTATTACCAATAATATTGTATTTAAGTGCATCCAGTTCAGATTTGTTGTCTAAACTTGAGGCTTTATAATAGTGATCTGTCTAATTTGCCTATTTTGATTTATTACAGAGAAATCATCTCCACATGCTTCTCAGCTAAAAGAGTCGATGGATCTTTATGAAGAAATTATCACAGAAGAACAGCAGAACAGAGAGTCAACATACTCTGAGGTCAGTTGTGCTCCATGCTACATTTCTCTCTGTGACCTGTTACAATAGGCTTTTCATACTGAATGTGAGGGTTGAGATAAACCTGTGAGAACCTCACACCACTTTTTGTTTGCTTTGTTCTGCAGCCTTGTTCCCAAACTGTATTTTTCGCCAGTTAGCAAGCATGCGAAATTCATTCTCTGAGCAGTGGGCATCCACTGTGTAGTTAGGGGCCAGGGCCTTTCTCAGGGGCACCTTTGGTAGTGCCCAGGAAGTCAACTGGCACCTCTTCAGCTACCAATCCACTCCATTTGACTGGACAAAATGGCCAAAAATGTTATCACAATAAAAACTTTCATATCATTTGATATCAATAATTATCAGGATAAATGTCAAATCATTAGTTCTTTCAAGTTGAAAGGCTCATTTTGCTTCTGAGTAAAGAGTTGAAGAAACCAGATGGTTAATTGTGGTTTTAAACTTTTCTTTATGGTTGGATCAAACACCTGATGGCAATCAGTGGATCACTTCACAAATCTGAGGCAGAACATTTAAAACAAATATGCACGAGTAAAATGAAATCAAATCTTTTCTTGGTCTGTACTCTTAAAATCTGGCACGTTGTTGTAAACTCAGCGGCTCCTCCTTCTCCCAGGTAACCTTACCTGCAGGCGGTGAATAACAGCAGATTCATTCTTTCTAAATATCACTCAGTATTGTGATGTCACATATTGAGTTTATGTATAGTGACGTTGCTGTTGCTGCTCTAGAAAATCATCACCAGTCATCTCAATATACAACAACATTATCTCACATTGAATATTGTCCTCATACCGTGCAGGCCTACCTCAGGCCCGTTGGGTCTTGTCTTACCAAATAACCATCACCAAATAATAGTGAAGTATCGTTAAGCAGTCTCAATAATGGTGTCCGTATCAATAAAAATTAACGATCCCCATTCCTAGTCACGGTTCTGTTCAAGGTTTCTTCCTCCTAAAAAGGAGTTTTCCCTTGCCATTGTTGTTAAGTTCTTGCTCATGGTGGGAAATTGTTGAGTCTCTTCTAATATTGTTTTGAAGAGTACAGTCTAGACCTGCTTTATATGAAAAGTGCCTTAAGATAACTTCTGTTATGAATTGGTGCTATATTAATATAATTGAATTAATCTAGTATACGTGGTCTACGATAGCCATACAAATCAAAGGTACATCGTGTGTGAAAAAGGGTATCTGCTCTTTTTCCTGAAGATGAATGGTTTTATTAAATAGTGTTACATTTGTAGAAATATTTCAGGCAAGGTGGGTCAACTCTGCCAACACCTGTCTTAGTTGGTGTTCAGACCGAAAACAGCCCCACGTGAAAAACAAAAACAAAATGTAAGGGGCTATGTTGGGGCTATTTTCCAGGTACCACTGGCACAATGAAATAAGATCAAGATGTCTGATTCTGAGTAACAGATCCGTACGTTTGAGGTTTATTAGATGCCAAAAAGCTATACAGTGGTTTATAATATTAAGGAGATGGTTTACTACTCTGGAAAGATATGATTTTTTTAATCTTTGTTTGTGATGCCATGTTGTAATCAAGTCGTGATGGGTTGGTTAAACACAGTGCCTTGCTGGATGATGTCCCATTGTGTTGAGGCAAATGTTGAGCCACGTTCACTTTGTTTGCCAGATGACCCTACGTTTGCTTTTTTGTGTGGAGCCCTCAGCATCAAGACTCCTGCTGAGCCAACGTATGATGGGTTTTGCATTGTCTGGTAGAATAGTTTTGTTTAGTAGTGACCTGCAGACCCAAGTCTGGTAAAAGAAACACAGCTACGATAGATTTCTCTCTGACCAACAGTCTGGTGTGAAGTGTCAAGTAAGGCTAAGCGTTGGTTCATTATTCTGCGTCATGTGTTGTTGACACTTGTTAACAACACAAACAAAAGCTATAACAATTTACGCACTATCTCACAATCTTTTTCTTTTTGTTTGTTTTGCAGTTGAAGTCCAGATTCCACGCAGCTCAGAACCAAATTAAAGAGTTGCGCAGGAGACTGGAGCAAATGGAGATGCAGGTTTGTTTTTTCTTCCTTTTCTCAGCTGTTGGGTATGAAAAAAAACATAACCAACAACAAGGTGCAGGATGAGAGAAGTTAGCAGACAGACAGCGATGGACTTCACATGACAGGATTCACAACTTGGATTAATTTTAGGGCTGTACATATCTATTATTTTTCAAGTCGATTAATCTAACGACTAATTTTGTTTATTCTAAAGAAAGAAAAGTTGCCTATTACTTGATTAACATATCAATTTATCGAAAATAAATATCAAAAACATGTCTAATCAATAAATCTATATTTTATTCAATCATCCTGATGAAGCACATTAGAATGACAATAGCAGCAAATCTTAAAATGAATGAAATTTCCACATCACTGCAGTGTTGTGATAATGATAATAACAGACATTAATTAGGCTGCTTTACTTCAAACTTTAAATGTTTCTGACATGGATTCATTTCAATATTAAGTAATGCAGTATGATAATAAAATGTATTTCTGCATCAGTGAACACCTGAAAGGACTCACAGACTGTGCAGACAGACACAGATTGTCTGTAATTAGATTTGGCTGTTTTCTCCCTCATACGTGGGCGTTAAATAAACAGAAAATATGAAACATCCGACCGTTACATGACACACGGTGTAACGTTATGTTACCATGACAGCAGCGGGGCAGAAATTATTTTTAACATGAAGGCAATGAAGAAATACTACGTGTCCTCGTGCTGATAATGTGCCGTGCTTGTGTGGCGACAGAAAGTAAACAGGATTTACGGTGCTGCCGTCTAGACAAAGTGCTCTGGGATACTTTCCTTTCACGTGTTCATGCTGCTTCACATATTTGTGGACAGCAACTGTGCTGCACTGAAGTTTCCATTTCAGAGAGCTCACGGAGCAGCACGTTGTTGAGTGTCTGTCTGAAACTTTAGACAGTCGAAGGCCGCCATCTTGTAGCTGAAACTTGTCTGGGATAATCCCACACCGGATGCAGCGATGCATTTACGCCATCGATTACGATGACGAATCGCCCCAGCCCTAATAAATTTTTATGAAAAGCTGTTTTGATTCTTTTTAACTGACTAAAGGAAGATAAATAAACAAGGACCGGGCACATTCAGACTTAACGAGCGCTTCAAAGGTAACGGGAGTCAGCACTTTTTTAAAAAAAATCTCTTGTACCATGCAGGTTACACCGGTAAATCTATATGAATCAGACTTTGGGGCTTGTTGTTTCCGCTAAATGAACGACGATTGAATTGTAGAGAATCTAACCGATCTAACGATGTGTAGCATGTCCATACTGACATATTGATCATATGTTTAAACATTAATATTTGGATTAACCATCCAAGAAGCTTAGAAGCAGCTAAAGCAGGCAGCCCCAAAGAACTTCTATAAAAAAACAGACCTGCGTTTTATTTGTCAAAAGGTGTTCCCACACCAGGCCAGGAAACGGGTAGGCAGCTTTTTGGGACTCGGCTATTAATGGAAGTTTGACAGTAACCTTTGATCACAACTCTGCCCTCCATGAGGGGCTTGGCCATTAGGAATCCAGTATTTGGATACAACTTAAGCCTAGTTCACTCTACACAATTTTTAGGCCCAATTTGCCGGTCGGGGAGCGTCAGGCTGTGATCAGGGGTAAATCAGTGATAGATCAGCAGTCGCCAGTCGTTATGTGTGAACTACTCAGCTCCCCAACGCATCACTGACACATCACTGACGTCTGCCAGATATCTAGCATGCCAAATATCTGGAGGAGTCGGCCGACTCGACATCCACCCAGAGAGCAGGCAGCTACTTTTCACTACAAAACACTTTTTACTCCCCTCCAGCTCTCTCTGTAGCTCAGACAATCCCTGTTACCTGCGTGTGCTAATCCATCCTTTCACCCAGATTCTTTGTCTTTATGATTGGTATCTTTACAATAACAACAACAGCAGTTTCGTGTGGAGGTTCGCGTCATTTCCCATTTCACATTTCATGTGTTTTCTTGACAAAACCTGGTTTGGAGACCAGCGTCAGGTGACAGAGCTGCTGTCAGCTCGTGTAGTGTGTGACCCCCTGTCACCTATCAGTCACGTAGTGTGAACGCCACAAAGACTTCAATACTCCCACCACAAAACGGCAAGTTGTGTAGTGTGAACAGCACGGCTGAAAGTCGTGTAGTCTGCACGAGCCTTTACTCTCACGCTCAGGTGTGAGTCAATGGACCTGAGGAATTTTGCTGTAGTCTTTTTGTTTTATACGCAGGCCTCTTTGTTTAGGCTTCTGGCCTACATGCAGGCCACTTCTTTGTTTCCCATAATGTGAGGTCCCAATGTGGTCTAATGTGGTTTTCTTTCATTCTTTCTTTCTACAGAATACAGGACTGAACACTGAGAACTACCTTCTTAAAAAGAACATCTCTGCACTTTTACGAACAGCTAGACAGGAGGTTACCAGAAAAGATGCTGAGATTCAGAGGTTGAACCAAAGGTAAGTGTTTGTTGTTTGTTTTTATTTACTGGTGACTCATTGTAATTGTATTATCTATTTTACAACAACCTATGTATAAATGCTTCATAATGAGTTAACCTAACAATTCCAAGTAGGAAATTTAAAAGATCATGTTGGCAGTTATTTAAGGACAAGTAGCACATAAGTTGTTTGGATTACCTACCCACTGTGGTCTGTAGACAAAAAGCTACCCTGTTCTGATTGTTAAATGATTAATCAATTGTAAAACTTTGTTTTCCCCAGGTCAGCGAAAGGGCTCCATCATCATCAATCTCATATTAATAATATGCAGGATAAAAATTCCTCCAGTCGGATCTCCACAGGTTGCTGCAAGAGTAGGCCACCTCCTCCACCTCCCTCCAGCCTTCCGCCTCCTCCTCCACCATCCAGTCCTCCTCCACCTCTACCAGCCTCAACTCCAGGGGAGGATCATCCTCCAAAGGATCCTCCTCAACCTTCTAGGAAAGACAGCGACAGTCCCACCTGTCAGCCCAGCGGATCTTGCATCAAGATGAGAACTTCAAAAGCATCGTCTCACGGTCATTTAAAAAGTTTCTCAAGGAAAGATTGTGATGTACGTGACAAACCGACTGACCACTCTGGCAGCAAATCCAGCAGCAGTTCATTAACTCGACATAGTGAGTCAGACAAACACAAGTCCAAGTGCATAGAGGAAAAATATCAAAGTCAAAAACTATCTGAATCAACAGATAGGAAACGTAAATCTGGTTCAGATCCCAACAAGGACGGTTATGCCCCTGAGAAACACAAGTCTCACAAGGCAGACAAAGAAACAGGACGAAGATATGGATCCAGGTCATGTAAAAGCAGGAACTACCTAAATGTTGACGGGCACCACAGATCAGAGAAGGCTAAAAGCCCTCCACCAGAGATTTTACATAGTGCTGCTTCCTCTGATGATAAGAAAGGGAGAAGTCAAGAACGGAGACGAGATAAAGCCAAAATGTCCACGTCAGACTCAGAACATAGTGCCGCACGCAGCTCTAAAGAGGGCCACAGCTCTAAAGAGGGCCACAGCCGAGATCATAGAAAAAGCAAGACTAGTGACAGTTATATCAGAAGTTCAGACTCAAAGGACTGGAAAAAGTCCTCTTCAAATCATGCTGAGCACTACTGTGATTCCTCTAAAGAGAGGGAAGGGGATAGACTTTCAAAGGATTATCAGAGGAAGGAGGATAGACGGCGTAAAGAGGAACTCAGTAGAAAGCATAAGAGGAGCACTCTATCAAAGACAAGCAGAGAACGTGAGAAACGGGGATCAAAAGAATCGGAGCAGGGTAAAGCTGACGTCTGTAGTAAGGAAAAACAAGAACAGACACAAGAGGCCTTAAAAAGATCATCTGAAGAACCAAATATCACCAAGAAAAGCTTAGTGGAGGAAAATAGTCCAAACAGGAAACTGTGTTTCATGGAAACATTGAATCTAACCCTTTCACCAATTAAGAAGCCAGTGCTGCCCATCGAAGCAAGCAGGGATAACCTCGAAACAGTGGACCAGGTAGTTGAAGACGAACCAGATGATGAGAGTTCACAGCCTAACGTTGAAGACATGTGTGTGATTGATGAAGTAGACAGCAGTGAATTAGAAGCAGGGTTGGAAGATGTTGGAGAAGATGTCCAGGAAAAGGACATAAACCAGAGCGAAACTCCTGCAGCTGACAAGCAACTTGAAGACAATTCAGTCCAAACATCCTCAGCTCATAGCCAAGCCCTAGATACTGCAGAGAATCCCGTGACTTTGCCTCTCACACCAAAATCACCAAGGTGTACTTCTGTAAAAGCAGCAGGTGGGGACATTTCAAAAAATCATGAGTATAAAACCAAGCTGCCCTCAGACAGCCAGGTAGATGAATGTGGACCTCTGGAGGCTACAGATGATGTTGGTGACATGCCCGGAAGCATGTATGAAGAACACTCGAGCAATTCTTTACAAAATGTCAACCCTGGAAATAATACGGATCAATCTGTTGCTGTTACCGAACCCGTTGTGCTTGATTCAAGAGTAGAACTGAGGGGTAAAAGTACAGTACAGAAAGGCCTACCTGTGGATTTCGTTGAAGACAGTGCAGCTGCTTCACCCTTAAGGGAAAATCCTCCAGCTGAAGATGTTCGCGACAAGACCGATCCCAAGAGTCAGCAATCTCAGCAAATGTCCCTACCTCAGGACGGTCAGCAAATGTCCCTACCTCAGGACGGTCAGCAAAGACTGGGTCCTCCTGCTTCCGCTTCCATTCACCAGAAAGATAGTTCTATGCAAAGTGGCCCTAAAGATGCAGATGCTGTATCCAGTACAATAAGCCTGGAATCGGTCCCACAAGAAGGGCTGAGTCTTCCTGAGGCTATTTATGTTTTAACACAGGCAAATGAGGACGCCAGCGACAACAGAAGCATCACAACTGAGCCAAGTTCTTCAACCGGCTGTATCGCAGTGTCCAAAGTCAGCAGTACCACAGAGGAGACAGCGCTGCCAGAGAAGTACAGAGACCTCACTTTGACTCCTAATAAGAGCTTCAGTCCTGCAAAGATTCGGGAGAATAATGTTGAGCCTTCCAGTTCAATGCCATTACTCCACGATGAGGACTCCATGATGCGCACACTGAGCAGTCTGAAGAAAATCCCTGATGCCATAAGTCCTCTGAGGAGCCCAATACGAATCACCAAGAGAAGTCATCTCTATGTTCATGGCAAGCCTGGTCATGTCAAGAGCCTTCAAAAAGGTAAAGTTGGCCTGAAAAGTATCCAGTCTGTAATCCAGAAGGCTTAGTCATTTTTATGCCTGTTATCTGGTGATCACCATTTAAGTGTCTCATTATTCAAGCAAACTGTTTTTGTGGTGCCCATTTAATTTTTTTTAATTGGTTATCCTTTGTTATGGTTGAATTCAGACTTTATCTTGTTAGATTCAACCTCAGAACCTACTCAGGATGGGAAGTCATAAACTTATCTTAAAGGGTAACTCCCACTTTACACATTACTCTTGTGGCTCCAGAGGGAGCTGTGTTAAATCTGATGAAGTATCCTCAAGTGATGTTAATTGTGTCAGCGTTGGTTGGGGCTACAAGTAAACAGATAATATAACGTATTTCGGGCCATTAGAGTCTGTGTCAGTGAGACTTGGTCAATATTGATAGGGACAAGATAGGGACCTTGTAATAATGAGGTATTTTACTCATAATTATAAGATGCTGTCAACATTCCTAAAAAATGTCTATATAAAGGTATTTTCTTTCTCCTGTGCAGATTTCTCCAGCACAGCTGTTGATGCCAACTCAAAGAAGTTGGATGTAAACAAAGAAAACAAATATCCAGGTTCCCCTGCAAACCATGACAAGTATAACTCGGTGGACAAGGTAATCCTGCCTTCAAGTCTCTCTGACACTGAACTGGAGGAAGGGGAAATTGTAAGCGAAAGTGATGAGGCGGCTGCAGGATCTCCTGTTCCTGCAACCAAGAGGGCAAAGTTGGCACGACCAGTCAGAAATAAACAAAATCCTAAGTCTGTGTTGAACAGGACATCTGAAGATAGGTGTGTTGCATCAAAAGAAACAAATGAAACGGCAGGTGTATCTACACGAAGTCCAAAAAGTCGTTTTAAAACCGTTTGTCCTGCAGCAACTAAAGCTTCTTTTTCCACTATAGAGGCAGTAATGGAAACATTCAAGTTGGTTCGTACCGAGATCAGAAAAAAGTACATGAAGCTTCATAAAACCTTTCCCAAGAAGAGCTTTTATGGTGTGATGGACAATTTCCAGGAGTCTTTTTTAGAATTTGTGGATGGTGCTAATTTTGTTCAAATATGCAGTCAGGAAGAGGAGCTGAAAGCCAAGCTGAAGAAACTGATTGCATCTGTCTTTAGCAAAGTATCAAATAATGGTATTGTGAAACGGATCTTTGAACAGCAAGCAGTTGATCTAAAGCAAAAGTTGTGGGACTTTGTAGATGTCCAAATTGACTACTTGTTCAAGGATATTTACACAACACTAAAGAGCCTTTGCAAACCAGAAAGAGCTCAGGCCGAGGACAAGAGGCCCAGTGGAAATGAGAAAGTATCTAAGCAGCCTCCTGCAAAGAAGTCACAATGTCAACAAAAGGTAGCACCGTCGGCTCCGACCAGCCTCAATCGAATAAAGCCTTGTGCTGCTGCACCTTACAAAACAGGCCTTGGAAGTAGAGGCAAAGATATCAGAATCACACATGAGAGGAGTGTTGAGCCTCATCCAGCAAACTGCCTGAATACACACACTGTGGTCAACTTCCTTCCTCCTCAAAATATTCCTTCAACTCCAGAGAAAAATAACATGTCTTCTTTGGTTGTCTCTCAAAATGGCTCTTTGCTTGACAAAACTGACTTTGAGCTACTCACAGAACAGCAAGCCTCCAGTTTAACATTCAACCTGGTGAGAGATTCTCAAATGGGAGAAATCTTCAAGTGTCTCCTTCAAGGGTCCGACTTACTAGAAACCAGTGGCATCACCGGCGACAATACTACCTGGTCCCTCAGTACACCAAGGAAGGATGGAGAGAGACGCATCAGCATCACCACGCCGACTAAATTTGACTCTCCATCTAAACTGCTTTCTCAGACAAAATTTGACACTCCATCCAAACTTATCGCTACATGGTCTAGTATTTCACCTCGCAAGATGTCGTCTCCACGATCCAAAGATAAGATCCCACTGAATCCCGCCTTATTTGATGAAAGTTGCTTGTTAGAGGTGCCATCAGATAACCGAGCAATGCTGCAGTCCAGCTTGCCCTCACAGAGAACATATTCCATTCTAGCTGAAGATCTGGCAGTCTCGCTCACCATTCCATCACCCCTCAAGTCCGACAGCCACCTCAGCTTCCTACAGTCATCGAGCATGCACGTCATGTCCACTCCAGACAGTGTCATCAGCGCTCACATAAGTGAGGATGCGCTGCTGGACGGGGAAGACGCTACAGAACAGGATATTCATCTGGCCCTTGACACCGATAACTCCAGCTGCAGCTCCAGCAGCAGCGTGGTTTCGGAAGCAACACCTTTTGTGTTCAAGACCGACCTGCCCATGCAGGCGCTAGTGATGGAGAAATCCAACGACCATTTCATTGTGAAGATTCGTCAGGCAGCCGCTGGCGCAGATACCACGCTCACTGCTGATGACAGCTTAAGTCAAACACTAACGGAGGAAGATCAACAACATAGAGAAGATGATGCGGCGATTCAAGAAAATCCAGCAAAAGATGTTCTGTCAGACAAATCGAAGAAGGTACCACCAGAGAACAACCTGTCTAACCTTGTTGAAAGCTCCGGGGTCTGTCAGGCGGACATCGAGTCAGATATCTCTCGAGATAAGAGCTTAACACTAACAAAAGATCCATCCCACAACAAAGATAAGTCCACTCAACAAAATACCTCAACGGTTTGTTTTTCTGAAGATTCAAAGAAACCATCGGTGTCTCTGAAAAATCTGCCTAAAACTACTCCTCCAGATCATCACGAGACTCACAGCTCATCAGATCATTTCTTTGGGCAGATCAGCCAGGTAACCAGCAGAGAAGGTATTACAGTCACTGCTGATGAGAACGCAGGTCAAACACGACATAGAGAAGACATGACAACTCCCCCAAAAGCTCTTGTGTCTGCGTCAGCTAACAGGAACAAAGTGTTAGCATCACATGCTTCAGACTCAGAGAGAGATGAAATGGAGGTGTCAGAGTCAGAGACAAGTCTCACAATTGCAGAAGACACAAGCAGCACATCAGACAAAGACCAAAGGGAATGTGGCAAAGGCAGGAAACGGAACAAGCACCAGGAGGAGTCTAGAGCCAAGCGTTCCAGGAGAGAGGAAGAGGAGAGCACGGAAGAGATGTCCAATGGCAAGCAAGACCATTGTGAATCTAAATCCTCCCCCACATCTCTATCCCCCAACAGTCTCTATGCCAAGAATGTAATCAGGAAGAAGGGTGAGGTGGTGATGTCATGGACCAGGTCAGTAGTTGCTTTTGTATTATATCATTCCACCAGGATGTTAATCATCCACATTATTTGCAGTGGCTTATCATTGTGTAATCTAATTTGACGTGTTTGCAAATGATACTAATCACAAGCCTTTTCTGCATGTAACAGTTAAACACATAATCACTGTATATATTGATGTGAAGTAACATTTAAATATGAAGTACATTTATTAAAGTACTATATTTAAATGCAATTCTGATGTGCATAACTTAAGTATTTCCTTTTTATTTTACTTGTCTACAAGAGATATTGTACCTTTTATTCCTGTATTTGAGTGTTATAGACTCAATACTAAGACAGAAACTGAAAGGGAGCATTCTGCATAACAAGTAAATTTACTTTTGCTCATTTAAGTACATTTTGCTGATAATACCGTCTATACTGTTGTTGCCCTACACCTAACCAATAGCCATTTTTGACCTCTTACCTAATTGTTGTTATTGTGCACTTCTGACCAAATGAAACCATGTTTAGAAACTTAAAAGAAGTAGTACAAATACTCCAAGAGTGACATTAGACTATGGAGAACATGCATTGCACAGAGCTGGGTTAGCCTAGCCTAGCATAAAGACTGGAAGCAGGGGGAAACAGCTAGCCTGGTTCTGTCCAAAGATCAAAGAAGTTGTATCTAATTTGTTTTAATTTGCTACCAAACCTGACGACTGCACGCAGTCACTGCACCCCGCTAATGCTCCCTTAGAGGTTCCAGTCTGCAATTCTCCCTTAAACCACAAATGATCCTTTTTTACATTTCTGTTTGGGAGGGATCAAACAAAGAGTTAAAATGTGTTAATTAGTGAAACTAGTGTTGGTAGCTGTATTTTTTTTACTTTACAAGGCTAGCTGTTTCCCCCTGCTTCCAGTCTTTATGCTAAGCTAGGCTAATGCCTGCTTGGTTTCCATCCTCTCAGGTACCGCTGAACTCAGACTACCAACCTGTAGCTACTGTTGTAATATTAATAAAATATTTCAGAAACGTCACTGTTTATCCAAAACAAATCTCCATGGCACTCTTTGATTATCTTTCACATCTGTGTAGAAGGCACTGTAAGAACAGTACATGTAAACAGGTTGTAATGTAGTGGTAGCAACACAGTTTGAGGTGTCCCTGAAAAGGATTGCCGCTCTTTACCTGTACTCCACTTCTTCCAGAGATGAAGATCGAGCTATTCTGATTGACCTGAAGACAAAAGGGGCTTCACGTGAGACTTTTTCTGCCTTGTCAGAGAAACTTAATAAGCCATCAGGGCAGGTAAGTTCATGTTTATTCTTTTTTGTTGAAGTCATGTGATATGACTGTACATCTGTGGTGAAGAAGCATACACCAACTGTTAACTGTTTTTCTTTTCTCAGATTGCTCACAGATTTTACCAGCTCATGAAGCTTTTTAAGAAGCAGGAGAAAATGGACACCTGATCCCTCTGACTGTGCGTGCTCTGATTTATGCATATAGTTGTTGTATTCGAACAACACACACATACTGTGGCCCCATCACAGATATGTAGGCTCCGTCTTCGCGGATCACAGGATCGATCCCCACATAGACTGCTCTTCGCATCAAGATCTGGAGCTCTGCATACTCCCATCATCAGCCGAGTACAAATATGGACAGCAGTTTTAGCCAAACTTTGTTTCCCAAAGGAAGGTCAAAACTTCAGTCGCTTGAAGGTGTTCCTGTGTGGTGGTTTTCCACACAGCAACAGTATCAACAATAATGACTCGTCTTCAGCACAACTGACGAGACAGATTGATGTGAACGCTGAAACAGTGTTAGTTTTGGATGCACTTTTTGGTTTTTAGCACTCCACACCACAGCCACTACTGCAGTATCTGTGCTGGATGCTGATGTCTGGTCCTCACAGAAGTATATGACTTTGTCCTCAGTGCACTATCTGTACGTGCTTTCCTTTCTCAGTATTTGCAGATATGATACATTGCAAAAATGTTAGTGCCAACAAGGTCATGTTACGTCTGGTCCTAAACGTGTTTTTCTCAAAGCATTTGGATAAACTGCCTTTGGACTAGGATGATTCCACGTTCCAGTATGCTCAGTCCTAAATTAAGTGACTGTTTAGTTCCTAAAATTAGTGGACGCTCACTGGAGACAACTTGAAGCACCACCCATCGGTAGACCTTGAGCTATGGGACTAATTGGACCGTTTTATTATCATTTTTTTATGTGATATTTTGGATCTCATTTTAATGGATGTATTTGTGGGGTCGTGCTTGATATGTTTGAAGGTTGTTGAAATGTTTACATGTCCAATTAATGTACAGGACAGGACGTTTATCTCTGTTAATACAAATTAAACCTTTTATCTGTGGGCCTGACTGGCTTTTAGTTTGGCTCATCCTATTGCTCATTAACAGCATGGAATGCAATATTGTGAATATTGTGTGTAATTCTTTACTGAAAATAAAGTTTTATTTATTTATGCTGGTGTCTGCTTCATAAGTGTATTAACAACATTACAGAGCTTGAATAAGAGAATTGTAGCAAATTGTGAGGTACCAGTGGAGGATAATCTGAGGCAGCAGCATCACCAAGACACAAATATTATTGAAGCAGGCCTCTCACTTTGGCCCTCAAAGAGTTATTTGAATTAAATCATGTGAAGTTTAGAGGGGAGATCACTTTTGGTATAACTGCTAATAACTAATAGTAGCAATTAGACTGTTGTTTTGAAAGGCTTCACAAGACAAACCACCGGTTTATTCTAACTGTACTTAAGTAAATGGACTGTACTTGTTAAGCACCTTTGTAGTCTTCTGGCCAGACAAATCGCTTTAAACTACATGTCTCATTCATACACCGATGGCAGAGGCTGCCGTGCAAGGTGCCAACTGCACATCAACAGAAACTACTACACTCACACAGCAATAGCACAGCCATCAGGACCAATGTGGGGTCCAGTATTTTGCCCAAGGACACTAAGACATGCAGACTGGAGGAGCCGCTCTAACTATAACAGCCTCCACCTGGATGGGGATTTGCTCCTATTCATCCACAAGAGCATTAGTGAGGTCCATCACTGATGTTGGGTGGTATGTACTGGCTCCCCTGGATGGGGTTGAGGTCAGGGCTCTGGTTTCCCGGTCATCCTCCACACCAGACTGGGAAAACCCTTTATGGAGCTTGCTGTGTTCTTTGCATCAGGCATTGAAAGGGACAAACAAGAACTATTCCCACAATGTTCAAAGACTACTATTGCACACTATTGTACTTTATAAGCAAGAAAGTTGAACCCAGTGCATGGCTGTGTATTGACATGTCACAGATGGTGCTATTTCCTGTGTAGTGTTCTGTTAAATGTGGCAGGCTGAAACTAACCTCAGGGCACTACAGGGCTACGTGGTGGATCAATGGCTTCAAACTGGAGTCCTAGTTTGCAACAGCATTGAAATAGTGTAAGCTGCACTGCACAGTCAGTTCAAGGGACGACAAATGAGAACTGATGTCTCCACAAATGATTCTACTCTGTTATTATGGCTTTTTGCTGAAGGACACGAGACAAGGACCCTAGAAGACATGTAAGTAAAACCATTTCTATTGCATTTTTGACTTTCCATTTAAATGTAAACCCACAAACTACTTTTGTTTCTTTATTCATTGACAGATGAAAATAATGTGACAGAAGATGGGGGATTGGAATTTATTAGGGAGTATTTTAGAGGAGGTCCACATTCATTCCACTATTGTGGGGAAGATCTGGCTCACCATCCTCTTCATTTTCCGAATGCTTGTGCTCGGGGTTGCGGCTGAGGACGTTTGGGATGACGAGCAGAGTGAGTTTGTTTGCAACACAGAGCAACCTGGTTGCAAGAATGTCTGCTACGACCAGGCTTTCCCCATCTCTCTTATCCGCTACTGGGTCCTGCAGATCATCTTTGTGTCCTCTCCGTCTCTGGTCTACATGGGGCATGCATTGTACCGTTTGAGAACCCTTGAGAAGGAGAGGCACAAGAAGAAAGCCTTTCTGAAAGCTGAGCTGGAGGGGACAGACCCCATCCAGGAGGACCATAAGAGAATCGAGCGAGAGCTCAGGAAACTAGATGAACAGAAGAAAGTAAGGAAGGCTCCCCTCAGAGGCTCCCTCCTGCGCACATATGTTTTCCATATCTTAACCAGATCTGTGGTGGAGGTGGGTTTCATTATAGGTCAGTGTGCTCTGTATGGCATTGGACTGTCTCCTTTGTACAAATGTGAGCGGCTTCCTTGCCCCAACAGTGTCGACTGTTTTGTGTCCCGGCCAACTGAGAAGAACATTTTCATGGTTTTCATGCTGGTTATAGCTGGGGTTTCTTTATTCCTCAACCTCCTGGAGATTTTCCATCTGGGGGTGAAGAAGATTAAACAGAGCTTGTATGGATACAAATATGGAGATGATGACAGTGTGTACAGGTCAAAGAAAAACTCCATGGTGCAGCAGGTTTGTGTGCTCACTAACTCCTCACCACAGAGGTTGATACAGCTCACACAGATGGCCTGCTCTGTTGTGTCTGATGCTCGTGGTGAGAATTTGGCCCCAGTGGCCCCTCAGAATCAGGAAGCCTCTAACAGCTCCAACCAGCAGACGTACCTGCCGAGCCATGTGGACATCCAAGGCCTACAGCAGCTGGGGTCTGGGGATCAGAGCTACGCTCTGGACTACAGAAAGCCCTCGTGCAGCAGTGATGAGTCGAATGGACCTCACGGCTCGGGCCAGCCGCAGTACGCAGGACCTCGACCCACACTGATCGCCTGCCACATGGAGATCCCAGCGGCCCTGAGAAACCCGCAGAGGAAGCAGAGCAGAGTGAGTGTTTGTAAGGAGCTCAGTGACATGAGTGATTCTCCGGACAGTGACCACTTCCCAACTGCCAGGAAATGCAGTTTTATGTCCCGAGGACTGTCGGAGGGGAAGCTGGCCACTCCGTCTGACAGCGCAGATTCTCAGAGTGGAACAGACGTCGAGGCCCAGCACCTCAACCAGGGAGAGAGTCCAGTGACGACCCCCCCGCCTCCAGCCGGCGGGAGGAGGATGTCCATGGTGAGAAAACAAAATGTCATGTTTTATCTGGAGCCCCTAAAGCAATGTCTCTTCTTGGCTATCTGATAGAGTATAATGTACAATATTAGTGCAGTCCATGTAAAGTGCCAGTCAGCACCCTGCTGAAGCAGGGTTTCACTTACAGAAGATTTAAAATGCCTAAATAAAAGCAAATCAAACTAATAAAATCAATAAACTTACACAATATCAGTGGGTCAGATGGCTGCCAGCTCATTCTGCCCCAGGCTGGTTGTGACTGGTCATTTAGATTGGACAGTTTATTTAGACATGGGCAACCAGGCTCATTTCAAAACTGAAAAAGCTCTCTTGAAGCTCCTCGCAGTATTGCCAGGTCTGTGTCGCCCTCTGCTGGACAACACTGACCTACAAAACACCTTCGCGTTGTTTTCTGTGCTGTGCTGTGGCATAGAGAATCATATCATATATAAAAATTACATTCAGTTAAAGGCAGAAGCTCAATAATTGCCCCTTTTAGCATGTTTCATTTAATGATGACACAGTAAAAAAGTGGAAGTTAACCATGGAGGTCAAGTTGCTCTTTAAAGTGTTGCATGCATCAAAATAAAACAAACAAACAAAAACACATTTTCTCAAACTCACCTTGTTTATTCCAGTAACATAAACCAAACTGTACCTCCATTGTACTAGGGTAGAGGCAAGACAAACAAACACTCACATCCAGGTGTCTCTGGGTATCTTGGAAATTTGGAAATGTAAGGAAGGATTCCATGCTGGTGCACCTCAGGGGTGGTTGGGTGTGGCCAGACGTGTGATGTCACATGGTGCTGACACACCCTGGAGTATACTTTATGTCACAGCAGCAAGGTGAGGTCAGAAAAACGTGTTCATGTCTGTGGTTTGAATAATAACCATGCACTGTCTACACATCTTTCTTTCCTTCAGAGCATGATTCTGGAGCTGTCTTCAATCATGAAAAAGTAAGCAAGCAAGCTAGAGGCATAACGGAGTTCTACAGGGGCCGAGGGATCCTTATCGCAAAGCAACTCTCATCCTGTCTCTCAGCCCGTCTCCACCTTTATGTTTTCACACTATGTTTATACAGAATGTATTATGCATGAACAAGAACTCCAGTTCCAATATGTTAACATGACGTTCCACAAAAGAAGCTTCATGTACTGTTCACATGATATCTCCGGCATCTGATTTTTTTTATATTGATTGTTTGCAAACTACTTTTTATTTAGGTGGATAGTTTTTCAGATAAATCAAAATGATATTTGGCTCAAAGCATATGGGACTGCTCATAAAATGAGACCAAGGGTTGCAAAGATGTTTGACTTAAGATTGTAATTAAAGATGAGATGAGATAAGATGAGAGAACTCTTTAAAACCAGTGTTGTGCAACTGTAAATGCAACATTTCTTTTTGACTGAGAGTTGCCTAATATTGAATATATCTGACAAATGTAAGCTTTTATCGTGGATGTTTCTGTTGTCCTGTTGTTTTTTTTCTATTAAACACTGTCCCCTCTTCAGCAGGACTGAACTGTTTTGTCTGAGCGCTCTCTCGTACAGTCTATATGGAGCTTACAATGTGGCAGCCATTGCTGGGGCCTCATGATGGTGATGTCAGAGAGTTAAGTTTCCTCTGTCTAAAACTTTGTCCATATTGCAGCACCTATGTTGTCAAGTCAATTATAAAATTTCATGTGGATATTCATTGTCCCATATACATATACATATATAACTGGCTGATGAGTGATCACCACATGGCACTTCCACCTGGGTCAAAAGTCAATTTCTACAGGATTTTTCCTGACTAAACTAATATCCATTATTACTATAGACTTCTCATTCCGTTAAAATGATTTCTGTCCTTTTTAGTCATTACTGGACCTTAGAAATGAGAAACTCAACTCCAAATGAATGCTGATGTTGCTCTGTGTCTGTTGGATGGGTTAGGCAACTCTGTGTTAACACGTTCACCACCTTAACTTACTACTAAGTTCATGAAGTTGTATGTCAGTGTTGTGTTTGCAGCTTGTTCTGCTGCCCCTGTGTGGCCAAACAGATGGATGCAGCTTTAAAACTGACCAACATTTTGTCATGTTTTTGCAAAAACCTCCACAAAACACAAAACATGATATGCATGTTTCTTTATTTCATAAAGAGAAAAGAGGTGTCTAGACAAAAAAGTCATTTATTGAACACTAGCAATTGAAATGAATGAAAATGGGGTTTGCACAATACCGTATTTACAATGGTTATTAAGTCATTTTAATTAATTAGGGTCATGTAGCATTTCAAAATTATAAAGTTAAGAACTCTTAGTAGAGAATAAGCAAATAACAGCTATTTCAAAATGACAATATTAACACAAAACAGTCATCTAGAAAAATTAAAGAAAAAAACAACAACTTGAACTACAAGCTTAAGAGCTATTACATTAAAAATGATGCACCAAAATCTACTAATACAATAATCCATATAATCTGTGTAAAAAGCATGTAGAAAAAACACCTGATGCAGTTTGCTGATACAGTCATTGACCAGTTATGAGAGGTATGAAGGATTTCACAGGTAGATAAGTGTGAGAAAGTCCGCACTGGTGACTCGGGGATGGGGGCCCAGGCCCCTGCATACATACACTCACTTCACTTGAATGTGAACTATGGCCTCTGCAAGTTCTAAGGCAAATATCGGAGGTGCACTTGTATCCATGTAATGCTGACCCATCCCAAAAGTTGGATTGAAGACAAGGTGAGGAAACTCTTCTTTGTCTCTTTAAACAACACCAAGAACCAGTCAAATTGGACAGAACAATTTTTACATGGCAAAAATTGATCAAACATTTGTAAACATTTTAAAATTTTCTATTTTTCTCGATGATCTCAGCCTGCGCATTTAACTAGGATACCAGATTTCTTTTCAATAAAGTTGAGCAGTCTGTGAGAAAGGCATGCTTTTGTTCATATTCTTTAGAGCAAACTTTGGAGTTGAAAAGCCAGTGTTTGTTTCAGAGAAGCAGAAACAAAAAATGTTTGATAAACAAGACAAATACACAGCAAAATGTATAAGCATTCAATTCAATTCAACAGCAATTGTTCACTTTAATCAATCTGCTGTAATGACCATAACCAAAAGAGTGTTTAGCCTGCAGTAACCTATTCCTCATATCTAAGTATCAAATGTGTTTTAGGTGATTTCTATGCATAGAATTATTAATGTCACAATCATTTTAAAGCTGCAGTAATCAATATTTTTATATGAACCATGAATCAGTTGACTCTGGCAGCTGTTTTTAGCAAAAGCAAACTTCAGTCATAGTGCGCTTCCAGCACCAAACAGCAGAAATACACAACCAGCCACAGAAACATGCTGGTGAACGTGATGGAGCAGTTAGCAGCTAAAGAAACAGATATTCTTCTCAGGAGTTTGTGGAGTTACGTTCCTAAAGTGAACACAAACACCATTCCAAATGAACGCCAATGTTACCCTCTGTCTTCTTGACATGTAAGTAGGCAACTGTTGCCAAACTGTTAGCTTTTAAAAACTTTCTGTGGTGATAATATGTCATTGATGTGTTTACAGCTCATTCTTTTCCCCACAAGTGGCCAAAAAAGTCAATTAATGCAGCTTTAAGTAATATTAACAAAAGAATTTAAGGGACGTTTTATTTAACAAAGAAAGTCAAAAAAAAGAAAGAAAAATGTCTACATCAGAATGAAATAGAGAGCAGGTTCAAATGCTTGGCACCCTGAGACGCTAAGGGCTGGTCCACCCAAATGAGAAAAAATATATTTTCTCACTACCTGCACTGGTCTCTAGCCATGCAAAAAGTTTTGGTATTATTTGCCAAAGCTTTGAGATTCTTTTAGATGTCTGCCACCACCCCAACAGAATGGAGGTCAATAGAATGAATTTTTCAAAATGGCATTTTTCAGTAATGACAGTTACACAAACAAAATGCTTCCATTGTGTTGAGAGTATAGGCAGAGATAGATATCCCAAACCCTGGACAAATACAACCAAAATGATCTGTATGAGTAGATGCAACAACAGGTAAGTGAGAATTTTATTTTTGCATGCAGCAAGGCAGCAAGACTCAAGGGCTTAGAGGTCTGGACAAAAAGCTTTTCTAACAGGAGAGTGTGCTTCATGGGGCCGCTGTTTACCATCTCGTTATCTTAGCGCTATGGGAATCTAAGGGTTTGTTAAGTTGAATTCTCAACATTCAGTAGGTATAAGAGAAATTCTGCAATGCAAAAACAAGAATGTGATCATTGTAGTATTATTAGCATATCGGAAGAGACACCCAGGGGCCTTTGTCACAATAGCTTTGATACAACACAAACGTCATGAACGTCATTTTCTCCAAACAGAAAAACATAGTCACAGTTGGTGCTCTGCAATGCAACACTGGGCTTCCTCAATTTAAGATCAAGCTAATTAAAAAGTACACAAAGAGAAAATGAGTTGCATAATGTTTGCAGAAAAGAAGCTTCAGTAATGTCTCCAGATGGTAAATTGGTAAATACTCCTTTGCTTCAGTTAATCTGCGTATGAATGAAAAGAGCACAAACAGGAAAAAGGGCTGAACCACTACTGCTCTTCACTCAGGCTGTGCCTCAGCTGTACAGTGCGAGTACTGTAAAACACATGGAACCCACGTAATACACACATTTTAGAAAAAAAAAGAGTGTCACGGGTGGCTAATCTCTAAGCTAGCTTAGTAGCATCCGCATTTGACCTGCTAGAAATGGCTATATGGAGTTTACTATCCGGTCTAAGTTAAATGTGTATGTATTACACCACTTACCTACTCCAACTCAGGTTTTAAACCCCAAAATAGAAGGAAATAGAAAGTATTTAGAGGTTTTTATTTGAATTGCTGACTTCAATAATACTTTTGATATGATTCTCCAGTCTGTAGGCTATTAATGTGTCAACACCTCAAAAAACACCATTTCTGTGTTTAGACACTGACCACAACAGTTGTCTTTTCTCAAATGAAAATATATATCAAAAAACAGAGTGAAACCAGAAGTTTGGGGTTTGTGTTCCTCATTCTAAATTATTCCGACATTTGTAATAACATAAATTACTAAAAATCCAGCCCTACAACATCACCAAGATCACCAGTATGCTCTGTGGTTCACATGAGCATAGATAAGGAAAGCAAATTTAAGCAGCATTTAACAAACACCATTTTCCACAAGCCCAACACCTTCACAGGTGAACGTCACCAGCTCCACAGGAGAGGCCAGTCGAGTGGTCTGAAGCTAGCTTAGACACGGCTGTAAGCAAGGCCGAACTGTGTTTTACAGACAGCAGACTACAGAGGGGGGTAGATACCATGGGTAGGAGAGAAACCAACAGTTACAATGACGTATTTTGTTTGGTTAAACTTCACAGAAGCTGTAGTTTGCGCGCTAACAAAAACATTGTTATTCAGCTTTTTTAAAATCACGAAGAATAGCAAACTTCAGGAACACATTTCTCTTCTTCAGAAAGACCATTGAAGAAATGCTAAAAGAGAGACCACAGAAGCTCGTGGAACAGTGGCTAGCATGGATGTGACTAACAGGGAGGGCCATTTTGGACTGGGGCTTTAAAGAACAAGGAATAAAGCTTCACATTCCAATTGAATTCAGCCTTCGTGCTAGAGTACGGCCCTGCTTGTACATAAAGCCTGCCTCTAGTGAGGGTTGAGATGATTCAGCTTGTTTATACATAGAAATTTTTAAAAACTATCATTTTAAAAGCAGACTGCTACAGAGAGAATTTATGAGGCGAACAGAAGCTAGACAAACTAACTAGGCTTATAGCTATAGGCAGCATGCATGCACATCACAAAGTTGGATGTTCAAACAAATGCACAATTAGGGCAAACGTGTTAACTATCTTATATGATTGTTACTTAATCATTTGGACAACACATACACTGTTTTCACGTCAAATGAATTCTGAATTAGCTTATTCAATTCCTAAAGAAATACAAATATAAGGTGTGAACAATCTTATACTAAAACATTAACTTCCTTTTGGGTTTAGGTTTCAGATATGTCTTCTTCATAGAGATATTTTAATTGTATATTCATATCAACAAAATGCTTACTCCCAATTTAAGTGCTCCAGTCTCAGATTTTAAAGACTCTAATTGAAGTGCTTATTGGCTCTGAGTGAACAAAGTGCCTGATTTAAGTCATGTTTTTCCTTTTTTTGTCAATAGGTGTTTATTTTATTAATTTCAATTTGAAAAATGAAAGAATCTTTCACTTAGATGTTGGCTATGCTTTTTGCTCTCTCCAAACATTAAACGGCAACACTGAATAAACCCAAAGCATGTTTGCGAGAGCGCACACATGTAGCATCTTTAAATACTGATAAGAAATGAGATTTCCTCCATAAAAACACATCGTAGAACTCTTTTTTTCACATTTAAAGAGGAGTCCAAAGTGGAGAGGAGCTGGCCTGAGCCACGTGTTAACAAACACGGCTTGAAAGTCTACTTTTATACATGCATGGGGCTCAAACTTTTACGTGTGTGTGTGTGTGTGTGTTGACACACGTGTCTGTATGTACTGTATGTGTGTGTCTACATGTGTGTTGAGCTGATTTCCTGAGTATAAGAACACCCACCATGACGGAGAGTATTCGTTAGGCAGGACAGGAAACAGCAAAGCAAAGATTTTCCCTTAGCAAAAAGGTGCTTAATACAACCCCGGTGAAAACGAAACGTCTAAGCCTCTACCTGTACAAAATCACTGTTACAGTCATCATGCTCCATACTATATACATTTCTGCCAAACAAGCACTTGAAAGTCACCATTACAACATCCAAATACAATGGTATTGCTGATGAGTGGGAAATAAAAATAGCCATTTGACCGCCTGCGAAAACCTTATTTTCCTTTCAATTCAGTGCTGAGGAAGGCAAAGGAGGAATGTTTTTCAGTTACAGCCTGTACAAACTTCTCCTGTACAGAAATACAAATGCGAGACGCTTGAAGACATTTTTGCATATGAACATTTTACAGTCTAACTGCATTGTAACTTCCTCGTGTAGAGAAGCTGTATCCTTATTTTTCATGAATTAGGTTGAACATTCAGAGGATTTTTTTTTTCCTGAGTTTTAATTGCTGTGACAAAAAGGGCCACTGAGATATAGAAGAAGAAGAAGAACCACAGACAGAGAGAGAGAGAGAGAGAGACAGTGAGACAGAAAGAGGTAGAGAAGATTGAGAGAGACAGAGTGGGAAGAGCAAATGTGAAAGAGAAAGGCAGGAACAGAGATATTGTTGGTACACAGAGAGACAAAGAGAGCTGCTGTTTAGGTCCGATGAGGTTCAACTTTGAGTTGTGATGTGTGGCGCATGAAGAACAGAGTCTCCACTGTAAAGGTTGCTGCCGGGGCGAGTATAGCACCATTGTAAGGGTTTGGTGAGAAGTTCCCACTCTGTCATGGTAAGAGGAGACTACCTGGAGAACAGTATTGCTGCTGTTAAGACAACTTTAGTGTCAACCGTTCAAAACGAACAATTAAAAAACAGCACAAAAAACATAAATACAAACAAAGCTTGTTTTCAGTGAACACTGGCGGAGGCTGACCGTCTCAACAACCCAGAGAGAGGGTTTGTCACAAGAGTAAAATTAAATAATAAAAAAAACCATCAAAAACAACAACACAGAGAACCACCACTACTTAGTACAGTCCTTCCTTGGCTGCTCGTCAGTTGTACATTTGTCGGTCATTTCCTGGCAAAAATCGACCGTCACCGTCTGGTTGGATTGCTCCATGGAAAGCCCTGACTTTGTGTACAAACTGGCGTCTTGGCCGTCCATATCTCTGTCCGCCCCATTTCTGACGGCCGAGTCGGGCTCGCTCTCTGAGGGGCCGGGCGACCCGTGGAAGCTGGGCTCCGGCGTGGCAGAGCCCGAGTGGGTGGTGAGGTCGATGCTGGTGGTGGTGTCGGTGGCGTGGCTGGGGGGGCGCTTGGGCTCGTGGGCGGCGTTGTTGCTGGAAGTGGAGTTGGCGGGCCGCAGCACGGGGCAGTAGTGGTGTAAAGACTGGACCTGCTCGGGGCTCAGCTGGACGTCCCTGCACACCTCCTGCGACAGGCAGGAGAAGTTCTCCCACAGCTCACCCATACACGCCTTCAGCTGGTTCCTCTCTGTCAGCAACTTCTCCTTCTCACACACCTGCGCATGCACACACACACACACACACACAGAATATGACTCACCTTAAAGATACAATGTGTAAGATATGGCCAGAATTTTAGTTCAAAACATAACAGCAGAATGTGAAGTAGTAACAGGTCTGACGTCATGTCAAAGACTTCTCTGTATTGTGTTGCAGAGATTTCCAGCTGAGCCCTGTGTACAGCACACAAAGAGATACAGATATTTCTAAATAGATATAAATATATATAATTAAAAAAACCTCCCCCACAGGTCATCACACAAGACGATGGTCCTTTAACTTCATTGTTGCAGAAGAAGCGACGCCCTGCCAATCCAGGAGCACATAAAAAGACTATTTCATGAGGTTTTAATAAAGATCAGCTCTCCGCGGGATCAGAAAACAGCAGAGGAGCAGGATCGCTTAGAGAGCAGCCTGGCTGAGAGGGAGGAGGAGGTTTGGAGCATGTAGCAGGAATCCCACTCTGTACCTTTAAAGGTGTGGCTTTGTCCCCCATCACTTACAGTGGGATCTTTCAAAGGCCAGTATGAACAGGAGAAATAATTACACCTGTTTCAGTGTTCTTATGGGCACCTGACAATTGTTTTAAAACAGACTTGTAAACATCTGAACTTATCCTGTAATGTCCCTTTCATATGCCATACAGAACATTTTCTACTCTTACTGGAGCAGGCCCGACCGGAAGTCCTTTGAGCTGCATCGTATGTAGTTGTAAGTAAAGGTTTCCAATAAGAGCTTTGTTGTTTTTACTATCGTGGGACCTGCTGTAACATTTCCGAAAGCTGACACAACAAATCAAAGACTTTCAGTTTCACACCCACCACAGAAAAACAGCTGCCTACAGAGTGGACCAGAGCTTCACCAACCCACACACTGCTCCACCCACTCAGCATGGCGAGATGAGGACACGCTGCTGGTGTGAAAGCTGATAGAATGGGGCTGCTCTAAACAATGCCAGGCCATCTGACACAGGCATTTCACCACGTCATCATTTCCGTTGTTCAAGTAACTGTTATTCTTGATAGCAAAGTGTCTGAAGAAGAGAGGAGGTTGGACAGATGACAGGTTGTGACAGTTAGTACTAGTGGAAACAGTCGACTCACCAGTTTTCTGATCTCACACTCCAGGTTCAGGATGCAGTCAAGCTTCCTCTTGCGGCAGCGCTGCGCTGCAATGCGGTTCTTGCTCCGCCGCCTCACATCGTGGATGAACTCGAGCTGTTCCGAGGTCAGTTTGTGCATTTTCACCAACATTTGGAAGTCGTTCCGTGGAAGATTTGTGATTTGATCTACGGGGAAAGGCAGCTTCACCTGGAAAAGGACAGAAAAGCCCAGACATAGTAATGAGCATTATAAAGGTGGACAGAAGTTCATCTTTCTTTTGTACGGACTCTAGAGGGTGTAGAGAGTCTCCTCTCATTCGTCGTTGCTTCAGTCTATAAAAGCGGACTACGCCAGCAGCATAACGGCTTTCATTTCGCTCACCACTGACTCCCACACACAGTATATGATACCTGGATTTCCACCATCTGTGGTGATCAGACTTGCTTCTTCATGGGTCTTATTTATGTATCTGAGGGGTGAACAAACCAGCCATGAACCTTGGCGACATGGAGTACAAGACAAGGTCACAGATGTTTCTAGAGGACAGAATTACTGGATTGTTCTTTTTCAAAGAATGTTGTGTGTTGTTATGAACACTACATATTGGGACCAAAATCAATTGATAGTATAATGAAGTGACAAATAAGTCAGAAGAGTAGATTTAGTAACACTTCAGAAGTCTGTATTTGTTTTGTTGGCACACATTGGCCTGTATACTGTGGAGCTGCACGATTCACATCTCAATTTCAAAACAAACAATGACAAAAACATGTCTAACTTGTGTCTGCTTTCTAAATTTACATTTCCAGTGTGATTTTAGGAGGGAGATTAATGAAAGATTGTGGCTAAATTTACCAGGTAGATAAGAGAGAATTTACCAGGTGAGTAGGTGTCTACAATTACTACATTTTGCCACAAGATGGCAAAAGAGCACTGCTCCACAGGCCTCACAGAGCAGGACTTGGTGAGCCTTCAGCTCTCCGCCTCATATTTAACATGTAGCACATTCAAGCAGAGGGGAAAAGGTGATGCAAGAAAAGAGTCCGTCTCCATCTGTTAGTTAGCACCTGGAAAGGTGCCAGTATGACAGATTGAGGGGGGCACTGAATTGTCAGCCTGATCCAAATCAGTGTCAGGTGATTTGTGGGGGCATGAATATCTGCACAGGCAACTAGCGGCAGTTTTCTCGGGGCGGCAGAACAAAAGAATTAGTGGAATAAATGCAGCAGTGATTTGGCAGTGCAAACCAAAATCAGAAAGCCGTGTGGTATTTCTTACTGACATGACGGCATATCAAGGTTGTATGTGTTTATTCTCTTTTTCTCAGTTTAGAGAGCAACAATAAGTCAGCCTCTCTCCCTCAGGTGATGGCAAACCTTATGATAAGCACATCACAGGCAGATCCACCCCAGCGTATCTGTTTGCACCAGGGAGCTGTAGCTTTAGGCAGCGAGTGAAGCAGTGGAGGCGTAACAAAGAGCCAGGGGAAGACAGCTGGAGAGCTTGGCAGAGATGAGAGGAGCTGCAGCTCTCTTTCTCCTCTCCCTTTCCCATTCCCTCCTTGTGGCTGCCTCTGCAGGAAGAGCAAAGTCAAACAAAGGAGGACGAGAGGAGAAAGAGGAGCAATGATGCGACTCCACACTCCCACTGTGCCTGGCTGCTTGAGCGGGCCCGATGCTCCCAGGAGACCCTGAACTGCTCAGATGACTGCAGGCATAGGCTGCAGCAGAGGCGGCTCAACGCCGTTTCTCCACCAGACAGTACACAGCAGGGGCGGAATTGTCACCTGGTGTAAGCGCTGCACTCAGGGGGATAAAGCAAGGTGCCTAAAAGAACTGAAATTATTCCTCACTGAAGATCAAGTGTAGATCAATCTATCCCTGAGAGACAAAATGGCTTGAGATTCGTCATTAGCAGTGCAGCCCTCTGAGCCGCCAGGAGCCCTATTTCTCATCTCAGCTCGACATCTGCATGCAGACACATGAATAAATAATGGCCCAAGCTTTCAAGGCCATACTGGCTCTAGCTACTTTGCCAGGGCATGACAACTCTAGCCTCAAAGAGAGGCGCGGTTAAAGCTATAAAACATCAGTACGAGCTGCCAGCTTCATCTAAAGCAGTGGATAAGATGACTCTGTTTGTGATTACATTTGCGCACCATAGTGCACAGTGGTGACAGAAGTGTGAGCTTTCCCGCCACAGGATCTGAAAGGATGTTTGGTCGAACCAGGCTAGAAAAACAAGGGGGGAGGAGACGCTGAAACCTTGTGAGGGTTTCTTTCTCCCCCTCATCTATCAGTCACTGGTACGCAGGGGGCGGCTAAATTTAGCCACGAAAACCAGTTCAGCAGCGAGGCTGGGATGACAGAGTACTCTTCAGTGGCGGTCATAAATTCACACCCAACTGTTCTGGATTTACAATTCTTTCTCAGTTCTCTTCATTCCTCCTCCCTGCCCTCAGTCCCTCTCTCTCTGGATCATTATGCTGCAAATGGGGTACAGAGTGGAAAGTAGGGCTCATCTGTTATCAGGACTATGCTGGGCTTCAGTCCTGACACTGTGCACTGTTAAAGGATCATAGATATTTCAAAGTCTCAAAATAAGGCTCAAAATACCATTTAAGTGAAAAATGGGGTGAATTGATCATTTTCACTTGCTGAACAGCTCAGGTTGAGAATTCAGTCAGACCACTTTAGCCACAGAGACTTTTATGGATCTGCAGTAGTTATGTTTGGCAGTACGGCTCTGTTCTGGGACCCCCCTGCTCTTCCACATGCCTATGTGGGAAGCCATAAGGTGGGGGAGAGCAGCAGCAAAGCCTTTTTGTCACAGTGAAGTCACCAGGTTTGGTGTCATCAACCAAACCTAAATCTGTGCACACTGGCTATATCAGGTAACCCTCACTGTAGCTGGAGGCACTGCACAAAAGCACTGAGTGGATGGTTAAACTGTTGCGTCCTGACTTCAGCTCTGTATTTAACACAAAGACATGACAGACTCTTCTCATCTCACTCACGGAAAGAAAGCAAATAAACTTTGTCATAAAATGTTGCTTTAAAATGACATCATTTGGGTAAATTCTATGTGCATGTTGGCAAAATGATCTAACCCAAGGCCCTGCAGGTGAGCGTAGAGCACAGTGACCCCTCTTTACCTGCTCCGATGCTTTAACATTCACTTTAAAGCTGAAACAATTTTCTGAAATGATTGCTGCCTCACACCGCGGATCCAGGTCTGCGTAATAGTATCTAATCCAAACTTAAGATCTTATCTTGTAAGGTGAGATTTACAATTCTGTGCATTTTCTTTCATGCTTCTCTGTAATTAACCCTGTTACATTTCACATGCTTGTAAATGGGATTATAAAGCAGCCCCCCCCCCCCCCCACCCACACACACACACACATGTATGTGTAAGATCTGCTGGGAGGTTTACTAGTAGCTGTTCTGTCCCAGGGGTTAACAATAATCTGCAACATTTTCAGATAAACTACTGTTTTGTTGCTCTCTTGCTGAATTATGTAATCATGAATAATATCAACCTGTATGTACTAGGTTCATAAAAAGCTTTATTTATGTAAGAGGCATTCAGTGTCATGTAGATATTTCCATGGAAAACTCCTCCTCTTCCTTTTACTTTGCTGGCAGCAGCAACTGCAGTTTGTTTGGAGTAAACACAAGAAGAAATGGCCAGTTAACTAAGAAAAATGAACAGAAAATTCAGAAAACAACACCAACAAACAAAACTTGCAGTACTGACACACTGTTTGATTGTGTTGAAGTTATTTCTGAGAATTTGACTGCAAAAACACCACAGCGCTGGCCTCCAAACTGCAACAACGTAGCCAAAATAAACACAACAAGAATCTCGCAAATGACCACTTTTAGGTAGCTGGACCCAGCGCTTCCACAGGATGTAAGGCCCTATAGAGGAATAGAGTCGCCTCTGTGCCCCAGCTGGCCCCGTGGGCCCATGCACAGTTTGCTGTAACTCAACTCTAGCAGCTTCCCGATCTCCTCTTCTCTTTGACAAATAAGAGCACTAAAATATCTCCTGGTCCTTCATCCTGCTCTACTCAGCACTCCAGAGAGATGCCTCATATACTCCAGGGGTGATTTGGGGGGTAATGAAGAGGCACTGTATCTCATTACCTTGTTACTATAGCTTTTTGCACATGCATAAAATATGGATTTCAAAGTAAAATGCTTGGGTAAACAGCTCTCTTCTTGCTCAATTTGAACAAGTCTCCCTCTGCATACTCCAAATAAAGCTCCCTGTGTAACCATAAGTAAATGTTTTATCTTTATCACCCTTGTTAAATATAGATTTAAGAGAGAAATGAATGAGCAAACATTCCCCTAATGTGAACATTCAATAAGTCTCCGTCCATATATCACACAGTGTGCAAACAAGTTCATTTTTCCCCTTTAACAGCTACAGGATCCAAATCTACTCCAATGCTACACTGCATGCACTGCAGCATGTGTTTGTCTTCCAATACATAATTTCAAAAATACTGTTTTCCCAAAGAGACATGTTGTCATGTTGCTTTAATAAATTACACAAAGTGCCCATGGGTTGAAAGGGTACCATCACTTACAAAATGCGCCAGTCACTAGGATTGCATCTGACATCTTATGTGTGCTGTAACAAGTAAACAGCTCCACAGCTGTTTTATGAATGGCAATTCGGACTCAGACCACAGCCACATCATATCTGGAGTAGAGCAAAGGTTCCCTGGCATTGTGCAAGGGTAGCAAAACTGATATTAAGATCTGTGCACTTCCTGTCACATGTTCGTTCGTTTTCATGTTTCGCCTGATAAAAAACAAACAATGTGCTGATGTGTTAGGACTACTTCCTCATTCCTCCCACTCACCCTGCGATCAATATTTGCACCACTGTGGCCAGACAATACGCTAGAACGAGCTCAACGCCTACACTGCAACCAGGAGCTGGAGCTCTGAGAGACACTGAGGGAAGCAGACAGACCGAGGTACAAACCGTGCTGTGCAGAGCAGCACGATGCATTCTCAGCTGAGATGCTGGTGGTTGCAGTGGCAAGGTCTCAGCACTCAAATTCTCCTTCAGCGCTGTCCAGTCCAGGTGGGATTGTGGCAGCCTATACAACATCAGCTGTGTAATTGCACGCTCTGATCTCCTCACTGACATGAGACCTGTCATGTGGTTCTGCTGGGGAGCCATTGCAAAAAAGCTCAAATCAAGGCCATTAAAGTAAGCCTCAGTAACTTTAGCTAAAGAGAGGAGGCTGAGGAGTCATTCAACTAACACAGTAAGGTCAGTTACACACAATAGTTTTCTTGAGTTTAGCTAACATTAGCCACCATACTGGTCATCCAGTGTTTTGAAGGAAGAACTGTGTTTTGTTGCTAATGGATTAAAATTTCAACTTTTATATATATATATTTATATTATGGGATAATGGTGAATGCTAAAACATGACAACACAACAACTACAGTAAAGTTTCCTGACATTAGCCACCATTAGCTGCTGGTTATAACAAACCAAGTAAGGTTGCAGTGAGAAAATTCCTCAGTGCAATGAATTGAGCAAGAATACATTTAATGTCTTTATTCTCTATTTTGTGGCAATTCTAGGGTAGTGATAAAACACATTAGCAAGTAATAAAGAGTCAACAACAATAGCCATTCTCAGTCTCTGATTAACTCTGAACCAGCTGCTGAGCACCATAGAACTATTAATGACTAATTATTGAATCATTTGTTACTCTTTTTGTGCCTCAACAACTCAAGTAAAGTGATACATCATATTAAGTAGTTATAGTCCTCAATTTGGAGTTATTACCGTATTGTAAAGTCTTTCCTTTCCTTTCTAATTTCTTGTTTTAAATTTCCCTCCTCCCTTATTTTTTCTGTTGAAACATTGGAGTTTCAAAATTTCTAATTCCCCTTCACACTATACATGATTTTCTTTGAAGTGCAATATAATTAGAATTAATTCCAATGCGGAGGAAAGTCAGCTTCCACTGTAACAGTATAATTACTGCTGACATAGTAAGTAAGACCAATTTACTGTGAGTGGGAAAATACATCAAAAACCCCTCACAGAGCCACACATGGCTCAAACTTGGTCAACTGTACATGTTTAAGTGAAGACTGTGTGAATGTTCTTAACTTGGTTAGTCTCTCTTTTAAGGTGAACCTGTGCTGAAGCTGCTGATGGTTCTTTACACAGATGTGGCTCAAATGAATGCAACAGTGCATAACCACAGAGCAGGAGCTGCCCAGAGACCTCAAGTGACTCTGGCTATCGTGATTGACTAGGCTTTGGTCAGACTGGCCAGCACTTTAACAACTTCCTTCCTCATCTGGATTCATTGTGTCCAGTCCACAGTGCCAGGCTGCTGCTATTTTTACCAAACCCTTCTGCCATTTGCTCTGCAGACACAGCGAGACCAGCCTTCTCCCTGTGTCTGCACTTAAACCAGTGGCCCAGGAAGCATGAGGTAGCATTTCTTCACCTCATATAGACCGAGGGGGAGAAACCTAACACTGAGCTTCATTTTGTAAGTACCTCTCTGTGACCTCCACTATAAACTGTAGAACAGGAAACGTTTCTAGGAAACATTCATTCATCACCAATCTTATCAACAGCCAGTGATAGTGAGTGGAAAGCTGGCAGATAACTGAGCGTAAGAGATTTGACAGAGGATATTGTGTGGAGTAATGGAGCACTTACAATGGCTGACACATACATACACACAGTACATACCCCCACAAAGAAATGACAAGGGGAGCTGAAATGTCTGCTAGTCATTTTGGGCTCCCATTTGATCGCTCAGTGCTGTAAATCCATCCCACATAACTTACAGCTGCACATTCAGCAGGGCCTTCATAGGCCTATAAATCTGATGGCAATGGGTGTTGTGTGCCACACTATGAAGGGAATAATTACACATTACAGCTGAGCCTCTTTATCTTGCAGCTCTGTTTGTGCAGTGGAACTGAATTCTTTCCATGGAAAACACACACAATCCTGCCATGTAGCTCCAACCCCTGCAACACACCGACTTTCTCCGGGAATCTGATCACCATGGCAACGCACCACTCTCCCTTTCTACTCCTTCTGCGCACTTAGAGCAGCCCTCTCCACCAAGCTCATCAAAAATAATTCTGCCTACCATTCAAGCAAACATCACCGAATGTAATATCACAAGAGTCAACAAGGCCTGGTAGCCAAAAGGTAGCCTGCATATGATGTCAAAGTCCAGAGAAAGACATATGATAATGCCAATGTCATGTGAAATCCTTCTAAGTGATCATAGTGCTGTACAATTTATTTATATAGCATTTCAAATCCCAACCAGGGCAAAAAGAGAGCTCATTTTCTAAGCTCCCAACAGCATTTGTGACACACTGAGGAGCTACAAAGTTTTCATCTGACAGCAACAGCATGTGTCAGTGAAAGCCCTGAGTTTTTAATCATTAGAGTGAGTAAACAGCAGCGCCTCAAAGACGCAATGCTATACTTTGTGAATTGATTTTATTGTCTTTCCCTCAGGTGGGAAATCTGCTAATTCCGATGTTATTAAACCTGTGCTGTGCTCCATCTGTGAATTAGAGGGTCCCTCACTGATCTTTACCCGGTAAACAACAACAGTCGTCTAGTCTGCAGCTTGGATGACGTGTGCCCAGATGGATTAGGGGAGGATGATTAGAGGATAGGCTATTCATCCTTGTCAGCACTGTTGAGCGGCGCTACAGTCCCGTCATGAGAACGAGCTGAACCTCTCACCCATTCACGTTCAACTCACTGCAAACGCAGCGCCATTAAAACTTTATGGCAGTAGTACATTACCGCTGTAATCAATGGGTTGTAACCCTTTGCGATGCACCACACACCTTCACTGCCTCACAGCTAACTGTCAATCAATCAGAAATGCCAGAAGTTGGCTTGGCTATACTGAGAATTAGCATATGCATATCTATAGAAGTGGATTGTAGATGTCAGCGTTTCTACTGGGATAAAATGAGCTAGTTAAGCATGCTGGCATTGGCAGGGAGATAGACAGAGCCAGAGGGAGCCACTTCAGAGGGCAGTTCTACCCTGGGAGAATCCTGACCCTTCAATCACATGTAGTGCATCACACACACATACACATGCACACACACACACACACACACACACACACACACACAACACAAACACACACTCTCTACTTACAGCTAAGATGATCAACCAGCATCACCGCCTCCTGGTGCATTTGGGCTCACATATTCAGACTCATTACACAGATCTCCAACAGTGCATAAAGCAGATTAATAATATCAAAGCACATCTGTGCCCTTTGGCGGTGCTGTAAATCTTGTACTGAACACTGCTGCTTCAATTACATGATGATTTAATGACTGCTAATGCAGACCTGGAGAGCAGGCCACTGTGATATAATTTGCCATGGTGTGGTGGAATTGAGTGTGTGATGTTTTACACTCACCTCTGGCCCTTGCTCCTGTACGTGGCAGGACTCGCTGTCTCCCTCTGAGAAGGAGCCTGATTCGTCACTAGAGTTGGTGGCGTAGGACTGCTCACATTTGATCTTAGGCCGCACCTGGTTAAAAAGGGAATCCCCTCCCACACTTTGCTCCTGCTGGTCCACAGTGGGGCAGCGTGCCACATTGGAGCATGGCGAGGAGGAGAACTCAAACTGGGGCAGGCTGCAGGGAGAGCCTCCGCTGCCGTCCTCCGCATAGGAGTATGAAGAGCAGGAGCTGGAAGTCCTGGTGCGTGTCTCACAAGGCGGCGAGCGTGGGCACACTTTGATTGGCACTGGGCAGCTGGTGTTGGGCCGTGGGCGGCACAGGATTGGGGGCTCAGAGGAGGTGGTGCTGGGAGAATAGGTCTGGGAGGTGGGCAGGGACTTGCTGGCTCCAGCCCACATGCCCTTTGGTATGTGCTCTGTGAGCTCCATCTCCAAAGAGTTCCCACCAGGGTAGGAATGAGCTGGGGTTCCCAGGTGGTTGCAGGCCCCTGAGGAAAATATGACACTACGGCGGTCTATCTCAACTTCCTGTTTGCAGACCCCATCGCAAGAAGCGGACTTGAGGGACAACCCTTCAGGGAAACCGTCCACAGCCTTTGGGGATGTAACAGACAGACCCAACTCCCCAGCGAAAGGGCTGAAGTCTTTTTTATGATCTCCCTGAGAGTTTCCTTTGTCCTGGGGACAGACAAGTCTGTTGGCGAATAGCTGCTGTGATGTGTTGGGCAGACTGGGGAAGTCCACCCCTTTCTTGAAGAAGGCTCTGAGGCAGGATGGGGACTTGGTTCTCTCCACAGATATGGGGTTATCCATCTCCATGGCTGTCACACTGTCCTTATCCCTGATGTCCTGCTCGTCCCCTGACAGGCACAATGAGATGGCCTCTTCTTCTGCCTGCGGTTCAACTTTAATCTGTGCCAAAGGCAGCCTACCCTGACCCCGCACTGCCCCGCTAACGCTGCTCTCCTTTAATGTGCTTGGAAAACCTGAGGTACTGGTGTGTGAGGAGGTGTCATTATTGTGCTTGTTGCAAGCCCACTGGTATTTCCTGTACTTGGGGCATCGTGGCAGGTCTGACGCTCCATGCCGATCAAAGTCCAGCTGGCCATCTGTGAAGTTACTAGGCATAGCCATGGTTAGCCTGTCACCATCAGGATGTTGAGAGGAGGTGAGGGCGTCAGCACACCGCCGTGCCCTGGGGGAGGTGGGTCTTTCTACCTCTGACTGCATGCTCTCATCCTCTGAGTTGTTCGACTCTGCGGCCACCTTGTGGCAGCGCAGCAAGCCGTCCTCCTCCCTGCGCAGCTGAGCTTCCAGGAAGCGAAAGCAGGAGTCCTCCAGGTTGTGCATGCGCAGGAATTCGGCACAGCGCATAACCTCCTGGATGTTTTCTCTGCTGAGTAACAGCTTAGCGGTGTAGGCAAACTGCAACAATGGGGCGAATCCCCTGGCAGTGACCTGCAAAAAGACAGGGAAATTGCCAGCATTACCATCAGCACAGTCATTGTTCGGAGCACTTGGAGTGTGGTGAGACAACCCGACAGCTCAAACGACCACAAACAAACACTGTAAAGTACCAGTTAATCTATCGGGTCAGCACTGAACATTCTATAGAGCAGTAAATAAGAACTGGTGCTCTGGGGATGGTGGCAGTTTGTGTGTCCAGCTTCATGTTCATAATAACAACCTATGGGACATTCCAGCAGTCCACCACTGTCTGCTCTGTGGTCATATCATATATATTAGACCTGGGACCTTCAGTCAAAAACTGCTTTGCTTACCCTTTTTGCCTTCACTGACATAAACGTGTCTAGCAGTGCTCTGAACTGTAAGTGCTCCGATCAGGGCACGGCCCCACAGCCTCCCTTTCTGTGGCAGTACCCTGCATCTCCAGGTCAACTGCCTGTAAAACCTAATGGTTTGTAAGACTACGGTTTATCCCCGTTGTGGCCATGTGGCACAGGATGATAGAGGGAAGCCTTCCATTTAGACTTAATGCCAGATAATTAGGTTAACTCCTGAGCCTGCAGAAGTCCAGTCGCCCTGCTGCTGTAGTCTCTGAGCACACAGATGAGAGAAAGGAGCCAGAGGAGCCGGCTTTAATACAAGGCTTGTCTGCTGTTTGGAGATCAGCGTGAGGTTCACACTAGGTTGCGCGTCATCGCTTTACTCACACTCTAGCACCCACTCCCTGCAGCTTTATCCTAGTTCATTCTCTGGTGACAAACACGATCAGTGCAGTGCAGTGCTAGCTCTCTCAAAAATAACAATAATACATTTACACTTTTTAAAGCTAAAATAAAGAACTGAACAGAAATTCAATTTTCTTGAACGCAGCTGTTGCCCTGATCCACCAGTTGTTGGAAGATGATTGTAAAGATTTGGTTGTAAAGATCTCCTCATTTTTCACTCTGATGGTTAGAAGCTGCTTGGTTTTTACAACAGTCTGTAAACACTTTACAATTAAATGAACACATCTACCGTTCTCTAGAATAGAGAAGGGGTTATTTATCCTTTATTTATCCTCAGTACAATGTACAATGTAAAGTTGTTAATGTCTGCATGGCAGTATTAAATGTCTATCTCAGGCCCCATCCAAACTACTACATCTTTGTTTCAAAATGGAGATCTTTTGCTACATTTGCACCTCCCGTCCAGACAAAACGGCAAAAATGTAGACTTAAAACGGAGAAGTTTGAAAATGCTGCTGGCCCCGTTTTTCGTTTTAAAACTCCAGGTAGCGCTTTAGTGCAGGCGGGCAAAAATGGAGGACGTTTGACTCTCTGATTGGGTCTTATAATTCATGCAAAGCAGAAACACGATGAGTTTTTGATTTGGTATTTTTCTTAAAATATTTCGTCCTGTGCAAATAACACTTATAACCTACTCTTGTTCTGTGCATGTTGCAGTTCACTTTGCGACGACTCCCAGTCTGTCCACCGCCACAGTCGCTTTTAACCCCCGTGTTACATTCAGTCCGAGCTCATTGTCAATCCATGCAAAAAAAAAAATCTGGTGTGGCTCTTCCTCTGCATTACTTTATTCTTTCGCCAAATCTTCTGTAACTACATAATAGACCATCTGCTTCATGTTTACACCGCCACACACATGACCAGTGTACCTGAACGACCACTCGATGTGCGTTTTTAGTCATTTTGTTGTAGACGGAGATCAACTCTGATACGTAGCTAAAACACTGGTGAGACGGAGATCGCATTCGATTTAATTCTCCGTTTGTAAACTAAAACGGAGTAGTGTGGATGGGGCCTTAGTTTCAGCAGTTTACGTTTCTACGGGTAGTCCCATGGAACACACATTTTTACAGAGCGAGTTTCATGACAGACACAGCGTTGCACTTGGGTGAGTAAGTCAGCATCAGTGCAGACTCGCTGTTGGGGGGTTAATAACCCGCTTCCACTCCCTGCTAATTGGTTTAGAATAGCACTTAATGTGGCTGACCCTCCACGTGGACGTGCAACTGAAGTGGAGGTGGGTAGGGAGAGGGTGTAGGGGGAGGTTTGAGAAAGGCTCAGACAGTCCAACAGTCATTGTTAAGAGGAAGCTGCTGACTCCATATCTGTGAGGGGGGATGGTGGTCTGTGTGAATGTGTGTGCTAGAGTAAGTGGGTTGGTGGGAGTGTGTGTGTCTGTGTGACGGATTGGGGGAGGGAAGAGGCTTTGACTGGACTATCCACTCTACTGATGAGCACAGCACATTCAGCGCACTACATGGACTTACACACACACACACACACATACATGTCTGTACTTAACTAAGCTGCAATAATGAATCCACTGAATCTGAATCTCACACTCTTTGTCACTACAATTGTATGATGATATCCCCTTCAGGCTGCTGACTGGTCTTTTGTCTTCCAAACCACGTTGCCAATTTAAAATTACGATGTGTAAGATTTAGCTAAAATTCTAGTTTAAAACATTCAAAAAATGAACTAACATGACCAACAAAATGTGAACAGGTCTGACGTCAAGTCAAAGATGTCTATTTATTGTGTTGCAGACACATCTACTAAAATGAGCATGCTAACCAGCTACTGTAGCCCCGACCCGTTGTGTGTTTTAATATCATATATATAGTGTCCAGTCTGCCTTCAGTCCAACATGAGAGGACAAAGAAGTAGAGCTGCCCGAAGACTTGTCAATCACGGTGAAGGTACAGCCCCATCACCATCCCAACCACCTGCTCCTGGCAAGAGACCATGTTCCGCAGCAAAGAAAAGATATTACATTTATTTATTTTAGCTGACGCTTTTATCCAAAGCAACTTACAATCGCTATACATGTCAGAGGTCACACACCTCTGGAGCAACAAGGGGTTAAGTGTCTCGCTCAGGGACACAATGGTGGATGTGTCACAGTGGGGGATTGAACCTGAGTCTCTCACACCAAAGGCATGTCTTATCCATCGCACCATCACCACCCATATGAATACTAGACTTGCAAACAGGTATCAACGGGGTCCAAGACCGTAGAGTCGATGCAAGTTAGACCTGCAGTCCCTAGGGCTTGACGCAAGTCGCAGGTGGGGAGCAGCACAGAGATTGGAAAACACTTAATTCAGAAATACTTTTGGAAAAATAATTTTAGCAAATTTCATGATTTTGCAACAAAAACTCGTTTGGCTGAGAATTTTGCACTCAGCCATATAACTGGGCAAGGTAACATACTTAGCCAAGGTTTTCTTTTTTATTGGACAGACCTAGATGGAGACATGACATCGCTTCCTGTTTTGACCCTAATCTACAAGAAGTTGTTCTGTAATAGCTTGCACATTTTTGGATTATCAAATGATTTTACGTGCAAAGTCTCGTGCAGAATGGAGTATATTCGAGTATATATTTGAGTATATTTCATGATTTTGAGGAAAACAATTATGTTTACAGCTTAGGCTGTGGTATAAAAACATTTATTTCAAGTTCTAATGTATTGTATGTATAATTTTACTACTCACAAAATGCTAAAGTTATAAAGGAAAGTCTTGTACTCATACAAAGGAAGTGACATCATACATCTTATATCACAAAGGTCTGTCTGATGAACACAAAATACGGGCCAATAGTTTCCCATGCCACACTGAGGCTCTGCACACAATTTGGCAGTAGGCCACTAGATTACACGTTATGTGCAACAAACATCCATATCATTTTATATAATAGTAAAGTATTAATATGTATAATGGCAGTTTATGTGAACTGAGTTGGAACGTTTTAGATCCAAAGGTTTTGAGTTTGAACCCAGGTGCTACAAATATGTTTTTTAAATTCTCTCTTTCTTCTCTATCTGCAAGACCTCCGCCATTAATAATTTTCAAATTTCTGACCTAAAAGTTTAATTTTAGACAAACACTTGTGGTTAAGCCCGGGTAATGATCCGCTTCCATGTTTGATTGTGAGTTTCTGGGTGATGGTGCATAGATAAGATGCTTGCCTTTGGTGTGGGAGACCTGGGTTTGATTCCCACTGTGAGACATCCACTATTGTGTCCCTGAGCAAGACACTTAACTCCTAGTTGCTCCAGAGGTGTGCAACCTCTGACATGCGTAACAATTGTAAGTAGCTTTGGATAAAAGCATCAGATAAATGTACTTCATGTTTACATTCACACACATTCATACGTCTGGAGCAATTTGCCCAAGGATACTTTGACATGCAGACTGTAGTGGTGAGTGTGGTGACCTTCTAATTAGTGGATGCTCTAACTTACTCTATATCATTTTTTGAAGTCTATGTTGTGTCAATGTTTGAAACTGAAATTTCTTCATACTTCATACAAAGCTGCCCCATGTGTAAATTAAAACATGGTACCTATAGTGCCTCCATGTGGTCAGTTATTGTGTTTACGTTTTGGCCAATAACTCATGAACCCTGGGGCGTGGCAAAACAATATTTGTGCACTGTGTTCCTTGGATAAAGCAGAATTGACTGATATGGTCAAATCATTTCCCCCCATAGCCATATGTATTTTAATATAATATTCCATGAGCAACATTGTACAGATGGGGATGGGGAACACGTAATCTCACATGTAGGTTACACTAAAAGATTTGAAAAATTGCTGCTGTAGCAACAGCTTCCAGTTTGGACACACACTTTCTTCAGGAAATGCACTTTCTAGTCCAAGTATATTGTTTTAGATCCAGTGCACTTTATATGATATGAATGAATGTTGAGGATTGACATAAATATTAAGATTCTATTTACATATACAGCACACAAAAAAAGAACAAAACACAAACCCTCTAGCAACCCGAGCACGTGTATACTCAAATAACTCTCTTCATGACCACACATACACACACACAGTAAGCTTCCGTAGATCAAGCCGTGTCGACTGTAATGATGAGGCATTGGTAGGTTGAATGAGTCTGGGCGCTGGGCCGGCACCATCCAGTGCTGATAAACAGTAAAGCTGCTGGAGGAAAAGTGCTGAGCGTACCA